GCTATGAGCAACCTAGACAGCATGTTAAAAAGCAGAAACATTACTTTGCCGACAAAGTCCATCTAGTCAAAGCTATGGTTTTTCCAGTAGTCCAGTGTGGATGTGAGAGTTGAACCATAAAGAAAGCTTAGCGCCAAATAATTGATGCTTTTGAACTGTGGTGTTGGAGAAGACTCTTGAGAGTCCCTTGGACTGCAAGTAACACAAACTAGTCCGTCCTAAAGGAAATCAGTCCTGAATATTCATTGGAGGGACTGATGCTGAAGCTGAAACTCCAATACTTTGGCCACCTGATGCGAAGAACTGGCTCCTTGGAAAAGACCCTGATGCTGGGAAAGATTGAAGGCAGGAGGAGAAGGGGACAACAGGATGAGATGGCTGGATGGCACCACCAACTCGATGGACATGACTTTGAGCAAGCTCCGGGAGTTGGTGATGGACACGGAGGCCTGGCGTACTGCAGTCCATGGGGTCTCAAAGAGTCGGACACGACGGAGCAACTGAACTAAACTGATAAATTATGGCAGTAAAGGGTCTAACATAAAGATCCATTAACACCTGCTGATATTTATGCTCTTAATGATATATTCAGATTTTACTGGTTCTTTATTTTCAGGCTTTTACTTGAGTCCTTTTTTAAATATTTATTTATTTTAATTGGGAGCTAATTACTTTTAAATATGAGTTTTGTTATGCCGTTTGCCCACATGCCACAACTAAAGATCCCGAGTGCTGCAACTAAGACCCAGTGCAGCCAAATAAGTATTTATAAATAAAGATGTAGAAACAAACAAGAACAACAAAAACTTTCTTCGTTCACGGGCCATACAAAAACAGGCACAAGAGGGAACTTTGCTGGAGGAAAGTGGAATGATTCACATATCCCCAGAGAATTAAATAAGGCCACATTATGTTGGAGGGATTTTAGGTAAGACATCCACAATTGTAGGTTATAGTAAAGGATGGCAGAGAACAGAATGAACCACTCAATGGGAGTGGCTGTGGAGAACATCTTGGAGAAAACACTCTCTCCCTGCCATGAAAACCACCATAATTGAAGATGAGGAAATGAGGAGGGGTAGCAAGTAACGTAGGCATGGATCTTTAGGGGTACTGAGGAAGTAACCCCTTTTTTCCCCCAACCACAGCATCTTGTCCTCCCCCCACCCCAACCCCAGAGGTGTCAGGAATGGGGCTTTGTGAGGTGCAAGGCTACTATTGGCTAGGGGAGCTCCTTGATAAGCAAACAAAGCTGAAGGGTGTGGCTCCCCTTTGCCTGGGGGAGGGTATATATAGAGAGAGGTCAGGAGCCCTGGGATACACTGTGAGGGGCTTAACTATGGCTGATGAGATCTGTATACCAAAAAAGGTTAACATAAATGGAGAAAACACAAACACAGAACAGCTAGTTCCAAGAATCAAAAAGAAAAGGGAACAATGGACTTCTCGTCAGTTGAAGACCAGAGGCAGAACCAAGGTCAGATGACCCTACCCATGTTCCTCTCCTCCCCACAGATCTCCCCAAGACTCCTATCCTACCCTTGCCAGGCACAAATGCCTGCCTCAAGTCCCGTCTCTACCCATGAGGCCCCCTTTCCTATAACATTCCCACCCTCCTCTCCCAAACCAAGGTCCTGCTAACTCAGCCTGATGCCTTTTCAGGTGTGGGAAAACATAAGAGTAGAAAGGACCCCTCAAAAGAAGTCAAGAAAAAAATCTCATCCATCCCCCTCTTATCCAAGAATATCTAACAGAAGCATAAGGCCTACTATATTCATCTGTTACCACAAACTGAAAAACAAATCATACAAGCACGTGCTGAGCAGGAATAAGAAGCAGTGGAAAATCTGACCATTCAAAGTAACTTCCTGCGCAGACAATAAATGCAGAGCCTGGACCAGAGCACTAGAACGAGCTGTGTCTTTGGAAGCGGCAATGAAGAAATGGTCAAAGACAAAGAGACACATCTGAGACCATCATGGTATATGGACGTTGAATACAATAAAATCAGCTAATTGGAAAAAGATGTGTGTATTTGTGGTGGGAGGGAAGAAAGGAAGGGAAGAGGCAGGTGTGTGAGGAGGGTGGGAGGTGACGTCCTGGAGTGCTGGGGGCCAGACTGGGAGGATAGCCAGACACTGGAGGATGAGGACTGGCTGAGGACTAAGAACTGGAGATCAGCTTCCTCAGCACTTTGTCCAAAGGACAAAAAGAGAAAGGTCTTTGGTGGTTCCATGTGTGTGGGGTGGAGAGGGAGAGCAATGTCAGAGTCGAGTTACTGTAAATCCAGCCTGTCAAGGACATGTTTGATCTGTGTGGGAAAAGTCAGGTACTGTGGTCTATGAAGGATAGGTATCCTGTTTTTAAATGAATTCCCTTGCTGCCTGCAGGCCTGGTTCTATTTCTTCTAAAGTCTAGGCTAATGTTAGAACTGTTGTTTCAAAGAGCTAGACCATGCCAATGGAGTTAATTGTTTAGTCTCTCAGTAGTGTCTGACTCTGTGCAACCCCATGAACTGTAGCCCACCAGGCTTCTCTGTCCATGGGATTCTCCAGGCAAGAATACTGGAGTGAGTTGCCATTTCCATCTCCAGGGGATCTTCCTGACCCAGGGATTGAACCTGCATTTCCTCCATCGGTAGGTGGATTCTTTACTACTGAATCATCAGGGAAGCCCACTGAAGTTAATAGAAGCTCCTAAATTCCACTAGTGGAGGGCACCACCACAATGCTGAGAACAACAGTCTGCCTTAATTTGTTGACCTTTAGAATCCTGATTTAGTACCTCTAGTCCCATCTCTCTGCTAGCAGCCCATGAAAGAAGCTTTGCCCCAAAGATGGAAAAGTGGTCAAAATGGCCACACTCCAGTGTTCAGGCCCAGGTGAAAAGCTGTAGGTGGCAAGGTAAGAATGGTGGGTAGAACCCAAGAAACTACAGAGGCTGCAGTGTGAAAGTGGCCCCCTATGCGGTTGGGTGTGGAGGCCCCAGGCCAGCTCCCCAGTCTCCTAGTGAGGGGTGAGCCCTTTGTCATGGCACCTCAGTGACAACATCATAGCTGGAGAAGTTTAGGGACCATGGAGCCTGCCTCCTGAATTCAGAGACTTCTACGGGCAAAGGAGACCTCAGAAACCATTTCCTCCAATCCCCTCATTTTACAAAAGCAGACACTGAGGTCAGAAAAGTGAAGGGCTTTGACAGAGGTCAGAAAGCAAGTTGGCAGTGAAGCCTACAACTCAGGGTCCTGGCTGGGCCCCTGACATGACCTCCTCTCCAGGTAAGTGATCCTAACCAGCTATTTTCTTATTGAATGATCATTGGTTTACAATATTGTGCTAATCTCTGCTGTATAACAAAGTGACTCAGTTACACACATACTTTTTTAATATTCTTTTCCATTAAGGTTTATCCCAGGAGATTGGATATAGTTCCCTGTGCTGTACAGTAGGACCTTGTTTATCCATCTACTAACCCCAAAATCCCAATCCATCCCTCCCACACACCCCCTCTCTTTGGCAACCACAAGCCTGTTCTCTGTGTCCATGAGTCTGTTTCGTGGATAGGTTTATTTGTGCCATATTTTAGATTCCCTATACAAGTGATAGCATATGGTATTTGTCTTTCTGATTTACTTAGTATGACAGTCTAGTTGTGTCCATGTTGCTGAAAATGGCATTATTTTGTTCTTTTTTATGGCTGAGTACTATTCCATTGTGTATATACACCATATCTTCTTTATCTACTCATCTGTTAATGGACCTCTAGGCTGTTTCCTTGTCAGGCATGAACTGGCTGGCAGCTCCAGGCTTGGCCCGTGCTGCCCGGCAACAGCCCTATAGTTCAGGGCTGGGTTCAGCTGGGCGGAGGCAGGACCGTGGCTATGCCTCTGCTTTTCCATATTGCACCAGAGCTCGTAAGTAGGAATACACAGCAGCACACTTTTAAAAAACACAATAAGCAAAAAGTGCAATTCTGCATCCCTTTATTTATAAACAAGTTGAGAATGCCATGTCCTGTTGGGAAGCAGGAGTGGGTTTGGAGCGCATAGAGGGAGGTGCAGGGGTGGGAGGGGGTGGGGGCTGATTCCAGAAGTTCGCATGATTCAGCACCAGAGCAAACGCTTGGGCGTAAGGTCGTGCTTTAACCCAGACGAGTCATCGTCGTCTTGTCTTATATGTACAGCATAGTCTGAAGTATGTATGCTCTTCTTATGGCTTTGTCCCGGGACACATCGCAGTGACACAACAAAAAAACTCAAGTCTAGAGAGAAGTAGAAGTTGCAGAATGCTTCATGAGCTCTTTTGTTAAAAGAAGAAAAATCTGATGGCCAAGACTAGTGCTGACCGGATGCCTGGGGAACAGGGACATCTCTGTTCCCTTCGGGCTCATCGGATTCAGCTGAGTCTATATTGCCATCTTGCGTCTCTCTCCCCGGGGCGTGCCTGGCTGATAAGTCCCAAGATGGAGAGGAGGAATCCACGCTCTTCCCGTCCCTCCCGCCAAGGATGGCCTCTCAGTAACTCCAACCTCAGGCCGTCCTGCAGCTGTGTGTCTTCCCCGCAGAGCAGGTCAGAAGGCGGACTTGGGTCTCGGGATCACTCCTCTTAAGGTTGGTTTCCTTTGCCTTTGCCAAGTCCTGGCCCATGGGAGCTGGCTTGCCAGAAACGGGCCATTCAGTGTGACTCTGACATTACAACTGCCCTGGGTTTTTAGCTGGTGAACATTGGATTTTGGGGTCCCCAGGAGGAAGATGTGACAGCTGATGGAGAAGGGCTGAAATGGGAAAGCTGGGCAGGGGGAACCCACAACCTGCATGGGTACCCACTAACCTTGGCTGTCAGTGAAAGGAAGCCTGCCTTCTTCACCTGTTAGGGAGTGAGCGACCCCTGTAAGGGAGCGGACAGGCACTGCGCTCCCACGCTTGCCCTTCTTCACCTATCCTGCCTTCTTCCACAACCTAAATTGCTGTCCTTCAGCCCTCAGTCTGAAGCTTCCTTCCCTATCTAGGGAAAAAGAACATTTCCTTGCTTTCTGGCATTTCTGCTTACCTGTTGAGCTTGAGTCACACTTGGTACTGCTCCCATGCCAGCCTTGACCCCCTTGGGGCCGTGACTGTGGCCTGCCAGCCACCGCATCTCCTCCCAGGCAGGGGAGGAGGGGCAGGGAGAAGCTGGTGGCCAGGATGCAACAAAGATTGGGTTGCGGACTCCCCCATCCCTTCTCATTAATCTTGCAGCCGTGGGAGGGGAGGTATTGTTAATGGTCAGAAGTGGGCCTGGGGTGAGACTTGGAGCCCGCTTGTGGGTTTGATGGCCTGTCCCTGGCGCTGAATGAGTCATGGCGGTGGCACCCGTCAGTGTGGTGTGTAAGGCCTGCAAAGTCAGAGTACGCCTGGTACGCCAAGCTGTTTGCTCCGTAGCACGAATCAGGTAAACATGGGTTTATCTGCTCTGGGCCGGAGCCTAGAACCAGAAAAGGCATTCCCAAGAGTTTCTCCTACAGAGGGAGGCCCTCACATGAGTCAAGCATGCAGATTTTCTTGAAGCTTCTCTCCTTCCTCCAGGCACCTCGTTCTCCTTTTCTCTTCCCTTGTTCCCACTGCCTTGTGCAGCTGGCCGCTGCCACCTGTCAGTGCTTGGGAGACGGGCATACGCGGCCAGTGTGCCCGGGGAACACAGTGGGAGAGAGAGCACACAGCACAGTGGAAGCACGGGGCCATCCTCTGGGCCTTGATGGCAGCAAGAAATTTTCTTCTCACGTGCCATCTTCCCACCAGCTCTCTGTCCCACATGAATGCTCGACAAGAGTTCTGGAAAAACTGCCAGGAACAAGGGAGTGCCCAAGCCAGCTGAGCCTCGTGGCTCTGCTTCCCAACAAACCCTACCATCTCCAGGTGGGCAGGGAGGTAGTTCAACCCCAGTGCAAGGGGAAAGACACGCCACCTTCCTTCCTTGGTTGCCCCATGTGTCTCCCAGAAGGCTGGTCCCCAAGGCCTCTGAAAGGGAGTGTTCCTGTCCTGAGGGATGCTGGGCTCTGCCCGTGTCACTGTTCTGGGCCCCTGGCTCCAATGGCACAGCCAGACGATGCCGCTTCTACCCAGGCGTCTGCTCCCACCCCTCGCCTCTACCTGCTCGCGTCTACCTGTGCTTAGCAGATAGCAACATCAGACACCTCGGTGGGAAGGCTTAGCGTCTTCAACCCACTTGAAGCCTAAGGCTGGGAGTAATTACAGGACTGCCTGGCCTGTTCAGAGGCTGAGGCGCTCACTGTGCTCAGTGAAACTCTCAGAGCCTTCCTCCACCTGCAACGATGATGGGAGGCCATGAGCACCACCCGCCGACTTCTTGGCTGGGACAAGACATTTCTGCAGGAATGCAGGATGAGCTTTTGACCAGGTGCCCAAGTCCCAAGGGAACCAGGTAGTTCTGAAGACTGAGGATTTCAGTGGGGTATTAGGGTGGGAGCTGGAGAGGGGGACAGTATAAAATGCTGCCACCACTGACTTGTTGCATATGGTACACACCCTGGATGGCATCTTGGGAGCATACATAGAACAGATATGTGCAGGTAGCACCCCCTATTGGTATACTTTGTGGCTTGGGACATCAAACTGCTGCTTGAGGTCTGCAGAACTATTCACTGGTCAGAAATGGGAAAAGCCATTCCATGACAGCATCCTTGAAGGAGAAGCTTCAGGAAACAGCAACCATCTGTTAAACTCAGAGCCAAAGCAGAGCAGCTCCTTGTGTGTATATGTCTATAGGATGTTCTCTTGCATTTCCCACAGACTAAGGTAATTTCTAGAGAACAAGGAAGTCAAACCAATGATGAAAGAGTACAGCCAGGAGAAGACACTAGGCCTTAGGGGGCATTCTCCTGGAAAGAACTGTCCTTGGCATGAGAAGTTGAGGTTCACACTAGGTGACCTGGGATATATCTGGCCTAAAGCAAGGCTTGGTCTAGACGCCACGTTCCTAGAACTGCAAAGGACTGATGCGTTGCAACCTCTGGTCTCAGTGGCTAAACTGAGAAGGCTGGCGTTTGTCTGTAGCTCAACTATTTCAGAAGCACTGTGCCACCTCTACTGGAAATAACTTTATTCTGGCAGCGCTTGGGCGGTAGGAGGCAACGTGCACGGCCCTTAGGAGCTGAAAGGAGCAGACTTCGGGTACAGCTGCTTCCATGGGTGATATACCTGGTGGGGGTGGAAGTAAGGACCAAAGCAGAAGACACCCCACTCAGTGCGAGTCTCCCAGGGGTGCTCTGCCTCTTTCCTTAGCAAGGTTAAAGAAGGGTGGTTCTAGATGATGCTAAGAAGGTCTGTATAGGTTGCCCGCCTGGAAACCTCCATGCAGAGCCTGGGTTTGGGGCGAAGTGGAGACTGAGGGGGAGCTGGTCCCGAGGGGAGCTATGTCGTGGGCTGAGCTGCAGCGCCAGCGACTGTTGCCCTCCCCCCGCCCCAGGGCGTCCCCCATGCCCCCGCCCTGCACCCCCCCTGCCCCATGTGGTGGGGGCTCTCGTGTGGCGGGGGCTCTGGTTGTCAGCCAGCAGACTTTACTTCTCATCCTCATCCCCCTCACTCATGCTGCTCATGGAGGCTGAGGCAGCTTTAGGTGAGGAGGGGGGTGAGGGTTTGTGCGGGAGCCACGAGAAGGTGGGCGACGGGGAGCGGGAAGGGGACCAGCTCCTGGTGGGGCTGCTCACAGGGCTCTGCTTCGGGGACAAGGCGTGCAGCATCCGGCTGCTCCTCTCCTGGAACATCTGCTTCTAGAGAAGGGAGAGAAGGCATATGTTAAAGGAGCCATGTGCAGAGCAGGGAAACAAACCAGGCAGGAAGGATGGGAGCACACACAAACACAGGCTAGTACCACAGCCTGTGTCCCCCAGACTGTCTCGGGCCGGGGCAGGGGTGGGCGGTGCTGAGTGAGATTGCGGGGCAGGAAGATGCTGCCACATCCGATTATTATCATGGCTGGTTCTTGGAAGTCACCCCCTTCTCACCACCTGTTCCCCTTCTCCCAATCTGACTGCTGTCTGTGATGTGCCGGGTAGAAGGGCTGTGGGAAATACAGCAAAAACCCCTCTTCTCATGGGAAGGAGGGAAGAATCACACAGGAAACAAAAAATGAGTATGTCAGATGAAACTATGATCTAGGAGAAAAAGCAAAAGAGGTTAGCAGATTGGGGTAGGCCCGGGGAGATGGATGGGCAGCAACTGTGAGTCGAGCAGAGGCCTGAAAGAGGTGATGGGGAGGGGACCAGGGGGATGGAAATCAGGGAGAAGCACGTTCCAGACAGAACCCCGAGAAGGGAGCACATGATACATGTCCCGGGACAAGCCAGGAGGGTGGTTAGGGGCATGTGCGGGTGTGGCCCGGTGTAAACTTGGCCTTTGAGGAGTAGAAAAGGCTCTGCAGAGTTCCTTTAGCTCTGGAGTTCTGAGCAAAAGAAAAACACGGACTTACGGTTGAAAGGGGACCCCTATGGCTGCTGTGCTGGGAACAAATGACAGTGAAGAGAAGGCAACAGCAGGGGACAGTGACGAGCCCTCAATAAGAACCCAAGAGGATGATGGCACCCTGGACTAGGATGACAGCCATGAGCATGGTGAGAAATGGCTAGAATTATGGTATGATTTTTTTTCCTCTTGTTTTATTAAGGTTTACTTGATAATTTCTTTTTAAAAATTTTTTATTATTTATTTATTTTTTTAAGGTTTACTTAATAATTTCCAGTTAAGCTTCTTAATGTACAGTTCTGAGAGTTTTGCTAAATCCCTTCAGTTTTGTGACTACCACTACCATCGAGTTACTGAGATCATTTGTAGTCACCCCCCACACCCCAGGCTTGGGCCGCAGAAGTGTTTTCTGTCCCTAGAGTTTTGCCTTTTGCAGAATGTCATCTAAATGGAATCATGGGTGGTGGTGGTTTAGTCGCTCGCTTGTGTCTGATTCTTTGCAACCCCATGGACTGCAGCCTGCCAGACTCCTCTGTCCATGGGATTTCCCAGCAAGAGTACTGAAGTGGGTTGCCATCCCTTCTCCAGGGGATCTCCCCGACCCAGGGATCAAACCCTGTCTTCTGCATTTCAGGCAGATTCTTTACTGACTGAGCCACCAGAGAAGCTGGGTATATGGTCTGGCTCCATTTTGAAAGTGGAGCCAACAGGACTTGTGACAGATGGGATGTGGGGTGTGGGAGGAAGCAGAATCACATGTCTAGTTTCTGGCCCATGAAACAAGACAGCTGATACCACTGGCTGGTGTAGGAGACCACGGGGCTGGAGGAGGTCAGGGTGATGAGATGGCTTTCCCAGTTTGGGACCGCCGGTGACTGTTGCCTAATGCTTTCAGAGCCAAGCTCTTCTGCAACACTGTCCTCTAGCCTCTGGGGAACCTAGTCCTGGCACTGAGCCCCTGCCCATCTGCCCTCCTGCCTCAGCCCTCGAGCACTCTGTTCCCCATGCCCGAGCGTCCTCCCCAGGCTGCCTGGCTCTGTGCTCGTTTGTCATCACTGCTCCGTGTAGAGCCTCAGCCCCCAGCTGCTTGCTCTAATCCTCTGCTCTAAACTGGCCCTGAGAGCCAATTCTCCTGTTAGCCCTCTTAGACTTTGCTTATCATTTGAGTTTTTCATTTTACAAACTACTACTGAGACCTTGGGGACAGATGCTGTTACAAGAAGGGGAAAAAAAGGGTAATTTGGTGGTCATATCCAAACTGGGGCTTCAGTGCCATGGGGAAGAAGGGGTGGAAAGGGGCGTTGAGTCCCTGGGACTGGCTTTCCAAGCAGAGGGTGCTAAGTAGGCAGTGCTAAGCATAACTGCTTGGCTCAACTGGACCTCCCAGTGCCTATAGGGTAACAGTAGTTGAAGCTAGAGCACCAGGATTTCTCCAGAAGAGCCCCTGGAAGATTGTAATCAATAGAGGGGTATGGTAAGATTCATGATGTAGAAATACCTTTGGGTGTGGGAGCATAAAAGCAAAGAAAGAAACCATTAAAAAAAAAAGATCAGTGTTTGGCTATATAGAAATTGAAAACTTCTATACATCTATTTCTGCTTCATTGACTATGCCAAAACCTTTGACTGTGTGGATCACAATAAACTGTGGAAAATTCTGAAAGAGATGGGAATACCAGACCACCTGACCTGCCTCCTGAGAAATCTGTATGCAGGTCAGGAAGCAACAGTTAGAACTGGACATGGAACAGCAGACTGGTTCCAAATAGGAAATGAGTATGTCAAGGCTGTATATATTACCCTGCTTATTTAACTTATATGCAGAGTACATCATGAGAAACGCTGGGCTGGATGAAGCACAGGCTGGAATCAAGATTGCTGGGAGAAATATCAATAACCTCAGATATGCAGATGACACCACCCTTATGGCAGAAGGCGAAGAAGAACTAAAGAGCCTCTTGATGAAAGCGAAAGAAGAGAGTGAAAAAGTTGGCTTAAAGCTCAACATTCAGAAAACAAAGATCATGGCATCTGGTCCCATCACTTCATGGCAAATAGATGGGGAAACAGTGGCAGACTTAATTTTGGGGGGGCTCCAAAATCACCGCAGATGGTGACTGCAGTCATGAAATTAAAAGACACTCTTTGGAAGGAAAGTTATGACCAACCTAGACAGCATATTAAAAAGCAGAGACATTACTTTGCCAACAAAGGTCCATCTAGTCAAGGCTATGGTTTTCCATTAGTCATGTATGAATGTGAGAGTTGGACTATAAAGCTGAGTGCCGAAGAATTGATGCTTTTGAACTGTGGTGTTGGAGAAGACTTTTGAGAGTCCCTTGGACTGCAAGGAGATCCAACCAGTCCATCCTGAAGGAGATCAGTGCTGAGTGTTCATTGGAAGGACTGATGTTGAAGCTGAAACTCCAATACTTTGGCCACCTCATGTGAAGAACTGACTCATTTGAAAAGACTCTGATGCTGGGAAAGATTGAAAGCAGAAGGAAAAGGGGACAACAGAGGGTGAGATGGCTGGATGGCATCACTGACTCAATGGACATGATTTTGGGTAAACTCTGGGAGTTGGTGATGGACATGGAGAAGGCAAATGAAGAAAAGGGAAAAACTTTTGCAACATTTAAATACAAACTAAGCAGCTTGGTATATAAACAGAGTTTACAACCCAAAAGAAAATAATGAGCATTTGGCACATATAGGTAATTCACAAAGGACTTATAAATGAACTATAAAAAATGTTTGGCATTACTAATAAACAAATGCAAAGTGACTGATGTGAGAAACCTTTTTTTCTATACTGGATTGCTAAAAATATTTTTCACCTTCCCAACCTTTTAAAACTTTTTCCAGTTTTGAGATATAATGGACATACAGCACTATATACATTTAAGGTGTACAACATAGTAATTTCACTTAAATTGTGAAATGATTGCTACAGTAAGGTTAGTTAACATCCATCATCTCATGGATACAAACTTTTTTCCATGTGATGAACTCTTAGGATGTACTCTCAGAACCTGCATATATAGCACAGAGCACTGTTAACTATAGTGATCATGTTGTACATTACATTC